CTTCTAATCTACAGCATGACTCTCAAAGAATACAAGCAGGAAGTGAATCTGATACTGGACTGATTAAAGACAGCAGACTTGCAAGCTAGCATCTGAAAATGTGAGTTTATTGTTCAGAGAACAAGATATCTGAGATTTATCATTATCACAGAGGGAATTGAGACAGACTCTGAGAAGACTACTGTCATCACAAAGCAGCAGATCTCAATCACAGTAAAAGATGTTCAATCATTTCTAGAATTTAACAACTTCTATCAGTGATTTATAAGAAATTATAGCTGAATTGCAAAACCATTATATCAGTTGATAAAGAAGACAGTTTCATTCATGTGGACATCAGAATGTCAATCAGTCTTTGAGAAATTGAAGAAGAAGCTGGTGGAGACTTCAACTCTACATTACTTTGACTCTGAATGTGAAACCTGCATTGAGACTGATGCCTCAGATGAAGTGATGACTGAGATACTGAGTTAAAAATTGAATGATAATCTTTGACACTCTGTGATCTTCTACTTCAAGTCAATGAATGATGCAGAGCTCAACTATGAGATTCATGACAAGAAAATGCTTGCAGTCATCTGAGCATTGCAGAAGTGATAAGCTGAGCTTGAGAAACTATAACAGAAATAATGATTCAAGATTCTCACTGATCATTATGCACTGGAATACTTCATGACAATCAAGAAGCTGAATTCACATCAGATCTGCTGAGCAGAATTCCTTTCTCATTTCTATTTCAAGATTAAGTATTGACCAGGTAAGATCAATCTGCTAGCAGACATGCTGAGCAGATCTGAGTAGATTAAGAAGCAACAGAACAGCTGTATGTAGATTCTTCTAGAATCAAAGACTTTTGACTCTCAGATCACTTTCTCTATGAATATTGCTGACATCAACTTCTCAGAGAAAGAGAACATTGCTGAACACATAGTGTTTTTAAACAAAATAGTCATCTTAATTGAGCCCCTGCAGCAGCAAGTAGAAGAGGAGAATAGCCTCTATACAATGAAGAATAATATGTTGCTCTATCATGAAAGATTGATAGTGTCTGTTCAGAAAGAAATTCTTATAGCTGCTCTGCTAAAGAAAATTCATGATCAGATCTCAACAGCACACCCAGGGGGATGAAAGACTTTGATTCTGGTTCATTTCCACTATTAATGGACCATCTGGTGGGTGAATGTCTTACACTATGTTCAGAACTGTCATACATGCTGAGTTAGTAAGATCTCAAGAAACAAAGCCTCTGACCTGCTAAAGCCACTATTAATACCAGAACAGACATGGAAGCATATTGCAATGAACTTCATGGATGTGTCAAAAAGCAAAAGTTGTTAGGCTCAGCGCCCGACCGAGCCCGACCGAGGCTCGGTGCCCGGTTAGACTCGACGTCGGATTAAGCTCGGCGCCCGGTTAGGCCAAATATTCTCACGTGATCAAACGACCATGCGGGTGGTTATAACCCAGGCAGGCCCCAGCACCTCTTTCATCCCATCAAGCTTAGTATTTCGTTATATAGCAGTTAGCAACGCAGAGAGTTTCCTTCTTATGCAGCTCGCATTCGCTCTCTAACAAAAGTGACTGTGATGTCATTCTAGTTATAGTCTGCTGATTAAGCAAGAAGACAATTTCAGTTTCTATCATCTGTGAAGTTACAGCTCATGAGCTGGTTTGATTATTCATCTGATTCTACTATTTCTATAATGAGACACCAGACTTGATTGTCTCTGACTGCAGTTCTCAGTTCATATCAAACTTCTGAGATGAGTTCACAGAAATTCTAGATATAAAGTTGAAACTCTCAACAGCACATCACACACAGACAGATGAGTAGACAGAGACAACAAATCAGTATATTGTCACACATCTTCACTCATATGTTAATTACTATTAAAATGACTGAGATGAGTGATTACTCATTATTGATTATGCTTCTGCAGTCATCTCAAACATCTTCACTGAGATCTCTCTCTTTCTAACTGCAAATGAATATGAGTCACAAACATTATTTGACTGAAGGTCTCTGTCAAGAGAACTAAGAACAGAGAAGAGGACAAATCAAAGAGCTGCTCAAAACTTTGTTAAACAGATAATAGAGATCTGAGAGTGAACAGACAAAAGTATGAAGATAGCACAGAAACAGATGAAGAGGCAGACTGACAGACATCATCAGAAATCTGACTTCACAGTGAGAGATTTTGTCTACTTGACATTGAAATCATATAGATTTGACTGATCAAGTCATAAGCTGACAGCACAGAACACAGACTTCTTCAGAATTCTAGAGAGAGTGAGCAACATCTATAAACTGAATTTTCTCACAATTATGAAAATTCATTCAATCTTCTTCTCAGACAAGCTGTGCAAAGATTCAAGAGACTCTCTATCAGAGCAGACTGTCAAATCACTAAATTCAATTGAGATAGATGAAGAAAATGAATGATAAGTGAAGCATATATTAGTCAGTTGAATAAATTGAGACAAACTGCAATATTAAGTCCACTGGAAGAAATTTTATGAGGACTCATCTTGGTACCCAGCTCATGACTTCAAAGAATCATCACATGCCATCTGTGACTTCCATGAAGCTAACCCTACAAAAGCCAGACCTTCAAGGTGACTAAATGAGTGGCTGAAGGCATGGGAGACAGACAGCTACCTGAAGAATGAGGTTGATGATGATCTACCAGCATGAGAACATGTCTGTCCCTAGACCAGAGGGTGATGTTAGACTCAGCGCCCGACTGAGCCTGACCAAGGTCTGATGCCTGGTTAGACTCAACATCGGATTAAGCTCAGTGTCTGATTAGGTCAAATATTCTCATGTGATCAAATGACCATGTGGGTGGTTATAATCCAGACAGACTCCAGCACCTCTTTCATTCTATCAAGCTTAGTATTTCATTATATAGCAGTTAGCAATGCAGAGAGTTTCCTTCTTATGCAGCTCACATTTACTCTCTAACATGTCTCTGCTCATTGCTTCATATTGATTTATTTGTGTATTCATTGTACAAGTCTGCTGCTTTATCTCATTCAGCTAGATATTTTCAATGTTGCTTATTTGTTCATTAGCACAATTGCTAACCCAGTCTATTCATATATCAGTGCCATCACTAAACTTCATGATGCAGGATTTAAGGCTTTCAATAGTCTATCATATGTCAGAATGTTTGCTGAGCTTCATGATACAGAATTAAGACTCTCAGTGGCCTATCAATGAAAGAAGTCAAGCAATTTATAATGTGAATGATTAAGCTCTAAGAACTAGAGACTAATCCTTCTATATAATAAGGATGAATTGCTTGAGAAAGGGAAGAAAAGAATGAGATGAGAATTTAAGCTTAAGTGAGCTCACATAGCATGATCACATGCGCACGTGCAAATGATGGCTAGGCTGAGTCAGCCAGCCAGAGCGAATCTAGAGGTTCAACTCTTATACTGTTCAGATACTGTTTCATCATAGCTATTCTCACTTTAGACAATTGAGAAGCTATAACATCATATTCAAGTGACAAAGAAGACAATGCAAGATATAAAGAATATACTTAATTTCAAATCATCTTATCTGAGTAATTGATTGAACAAGATTTTCTGAGCAGTCTTGTTCAGACAAAACTCAATACTATAAGAGAGAGTGAGATTGAGAGTTACTATCTTGCAATCAAACACTGCAGCATTAAAAATACATATCAGCAGGTTCAAGTAGAAGGTATACTCACTGTCAGAGATGTGAATAGAAAGATCACACAATGCAAAGAGAAGAAAGCAGAAAAAGAACATTATAAGAGAGTCAAATATGTTGAGAGAGCTTTGAAGAAAAATACCACAGATTCAACTCAACAAGAGGTTAATGATATATATGAACATCTCATGAATAATACAGCTACTACAGATGATATAGATAAATTAATTATCATAGATTAGCAGCATGGTGATGAGATATTAATTTTTGAAGTTCTAATTATCCATAATTTTATTATTATGCTGTTTTTATCATTACGCTGTGGCGCAGGGTGCGCGGGGCACGATTATTAGCCTGACTGATAAAGTAAGCACATGAACTGGACGGAAAACAACTCAATTTCCTTAGTCCCTCATATAGGCCAGCTAGCCGCTTCTTGCTCTTCCGGTTCGTAATAACGCATCTTCAGGCAAATATTTAGGGGAACAAAAGAATGGACAGACGAGTCTGAGGCGAACACTACCCTTGACCTTTGGCTCTTATCAAGCTCGGGGGAGTATTTCGAGAAGAACATTTGCTCCATTGTACGGAATATCACTGGTTCTGAGTTACCTGCTTCTTTCTACGAAGAGTTGACATTTGAGGCGGATCAGCCGGCGAGTGACCAGGATTGCGACTTGGTCTTGTCGATGTGCCTTAGTGAGGTGTTGGCTGGTGGTGTGGAGATGAAAGAGATTGGGGATTATTAACAGTTAGCGGTGGAGAGCAAAAGTCTACTTACTATGAGGCGATTTCTGCAACCAGATTAAAAGGTGGGATTGTCGTTCCTATAATGCATTTTTTTATATACAGACTGAATGAAAGGCTAGATATTTATAATTGGGGTGTTTAATGCTAAAATCATGAGTGCACCCACGTGGCTTGATGGCTTGTTTTCTGATATCTGATTACATTATTTTTGGGGACCCTATGTACGATCTATATTCAAGCAACCTCAACAACGACCGGCGCGCTCGTCTAAGCTAAGTTATCTAATTTTGGAAAATTTCGCCCGGACATTTTTTGCAGGTAGTAAAACTGTGGCATTTTAGTGAGAATATCTTCTTATACGTGGAACGAACATGCATTTTTGAGTATAAGCTCTGTTAAAATAGGTCTATTCCAAACCTGATATAAACATAAGAAATATCCAACCATACATACATACATCATAAATGACAGAATGATATAAACTCAAGCGTATATGCAAGGGGAGGAAGATAAATTAGGAATAATAACTAATTGGAATGTACAAAAGACCCAACCAAAATGTATTTCACATCAAGCTTGTTCTTCCTCCAATCTCCCGTCCGCCCTCTCCAGAAGGCATCTCCCCGTTCCTCCCCACAATGAATTCCCTATAGATGACTTCGAGGCGCTTCCGCTCCACGTCACTGATGGAACACCGAGTGGTAGCAATGGATCGCTCGATGTGGGTCCAGCCTATATGGATGTCATCAACAGCACTTTTATTAGCACCGTCCACACTATTGGCACGGCTCGTAGAAGCCTCAGTTAGCGAATCTAATCCTTCACGTGAGATCTGGCGTTGACGTCTGCGGGCTTGTTTAATCGCGTCTAGTTTTGCTGCCACAATAGCAGACGGGATCAGAGAGGCAGCGGAGCTGTCAGTTGGTCGGTACCCAGATGCTAGAGCTGTAGCATGCTGGTCTGAAGAGTACAGGAATTGGATAAAGGGCCTACTTGCCGATTGGCCTGAGTGAGTGGCACCGTTGACTCCTGGTTTGACGCTGTTTGCTAACGCTTTCGATTTAGTCTGTGAATTTGGATCGGAAGATCTATCGCCCAAAACGTCGTGGATGGCTTCGAGATGGGCGTTATATAAAACTGCCTGCAGATCGGCACCGGAATATCCCTCTGTACGATCAGCAATTTCCTCAACTCGCGCCATTACTTCCTCTCTAAGTTTGAGTTTCTTGCTCAGGGTTTTGATGATATCCACCCGGTCTAAGTGTGAAGGCATGTCGCACAGAAGGGATTTATCGAGACGTCCCGGTCGGAGCAAAGCGGGGTCAATGAGGTCTGGTCGTGACGTAGCTGCCAGAACGTACACTCCCGAAAGCCCTTCCGCACCATCCATCTGGGTAAGAAGCTGATTGACTACTCTATCAGTGACACCTGTGGAGTCATGTCCTCGCTTTGGCGCGATACTGTCGAATTCATCGAAGAAAAGGACGCAGGGCCTCGCAGCCTCAGCTCGTTCAAATAAATCGCGCACGCTTTTTTCACTTGCTCCGATATACTTGTTGAGAATTTCGGGGCCCTTTACACTGATGAAGTTGAGTCCGCACTCCCCCGCAACTGCACTTGCAAGAAGTGTTTTCCCGCATCCCGGAAATCCATAAAGCAACAAACCAGAACGTAGGCGAAGTGGACACTGAGCAAATATCGGTGCATATGTTGTGGGATACTGAAGGGTTTCGAGGAGTGTTTTTCTCGTCTCATGAAGCCCACCTATTGACGCAAAGGTGGTCGAGGAGGATGTCAGAGTGACATTGCGGAGAGATGCAGGGGTAAATCCCTTCAGCGCACGGGCAAAATCTTCTGTACCCAATGTAACTGTGGCCGAAACAGATGATGTATCTTTAACCAAACGGATCAGAACTTCATTCCTTGCACGAGCAGTTAAAAGGACGAGATCTCCGGGCATGTATCCGTCTGTCTTTCCAGCTAAGTCAAGAAAATCCAAGTCTCGGCTCAAAACGAAACCATCGGACCCGCGGGACGAACTTGGTCGGCTGCCGGGATTTGAGGGGTCGAGCCAAGTCTCTTGCGTGGACGAGCTGCGACTTCTAGAATGACCGTTGACTTTAATTTGGAAAGTTGCAGCCGCCGCGTCCTCAAAAGTTAATTTCTCCAAAATTTTTCTTCTTCCGTCCTTATTTGGCGCCTTCAAGCTAATGATTTCCCGTACAACATGACCTCCAACAACAACGTTGTTAAGGGATTCTTTCGCTTGTGCTGTCGCAAGTATCACAACCGAAGACCTAGCCGAACAGAATTCTCTTACTGTTGAACACACGATCTCACTGATCTGGCGACTCCTTCCATTCTCACCGCCAACTTGAAGCTCTGTTTCCACAGGACAGAGTCGATCAAGGTCATCCAAGATCACGATTGACTTGCCACCTTGCCTAGCACACCAGGTTGCAGACAAGAAAAGGCGATGAAGCGTTTCCTTAATGGCGAAAATTCGTGTTTCATCCGTGACCAACTTCCGGCAAGAAAAATAGGAGACGTTAAATAGGTAATCCTCCCGTAAACTGTTAGCTAGTAAATGGCAGAGAGATGTCTTGCCTGCCCCTAAACCGCCAGTAAGAAGAACCGATGACGACCGAGTAAGATTCGATAAACAACTTTCGATAGTTGTATCTATCCCTACCAAAATAGGCGCTTCATATGGAATGAGAACAGTAGATGGGGAGAATGAAGGAACACTGTCCTGCGGTATTGGTATTTCTGGCTGGATCTCTAAGTTGGCTCTGCATTCCGAGCCCAGAAGCCAGCCAAACGCAGGCCTGCCACCAGCATCCGAAGACGTGTTCAATGGAGGGTCGAAGCGAACAATAGCGCCTTCAAAGTCAGACGATGTGAATCGGTCTTCAAGGCTGGGCAAAATCATCCCATCTGTGATTGGGCCCGACAGCATTCCTGTACCCGATGAACCTGGGGTGCCATATAATAGTTTAGTTTTTTCAGCCAGAGCATCGCGGGATGCAGATGGATCGCCACCGAATTTTAAACCATCCTTCTTTTTCAGCGAGGCCGTAGCGAAAGGAAAGACTTTGATTGATTTTACAGAAGACCACTGGATTGGAAGGGGCGCTGGCTCAACACGAACAATCCCCCCAACCATTCCACCAGATCCTAGGGCGGAACAGAGTTGGGAGGAAAGGGTGACATGTTGGCAATCAGGGCTTTGAACCCATGGGAGAATTCTGGCAACAACTTTCTTGGAAGCCTTGCCTGCATCAGAGGTCTCTTGCTCCTTTTGCTGTACCTGCTGTTGAGGGTCGACAGGTGGAAGTAGTCCGGGTGGAGTTACTATCGAGACGCATGCCCATATTGCTCCGCGCAGCTCATTTTTCGCCAGGATGTCATAGTCAACCCATATCCTAAGTCCCTCGTTTTTCTGATTGTCTGCACCCTCATCAAACCAATTCCGAGCCACGCTCCGATCTACACCTCGAAGATAGACTGTTCCGCGCGACGCCAAATCGGAATGGCTACTCCTGGGACGGATAGTACTTCCACTGCTACGACCACTGATGCTTTTGCTCCCAGCGCTCGCCGTGCTCCTAATTTCGCTGCGCGAAGGTCTTCCAAATTTTGGACGCACTTTTGGAGCAACTATAACTTCAGCATCTGGTGCAATTTTCGCAAAAGGCGAAGTGGAAGGCGGCGGTGGAATTAGTGAGGTGATGGTAATGTTGGCCGTTGAGGTGGGTGACAGATGTAGTGTGAGGCTATGGGAATGGGATATTTGTCCAGATGTTGCCATGCTATATGCCGGGTTTGGAAGAGCGCGAATTTGAGACAGGAGATTAAGTTCTAGGAATGTAGCATGCAGCTCAATAACTATGGGGAACGTGTTAGCCATGCGATTCGGAATAGAAAGGTGCTATCAAGGACATACTCTCCCAATCCGCCGATGTTAGGGGTTCTATATTGACAGTATGAGCCACTGGGGGGTCGAGATGCAATAGCAACCCGACCTAACTCGAAGTCAGCAGTCTGACAGTATTAGAGCTTAATATTTTAAGTTGTGTGCTAATCACCCGTTGACCGTCACTCAATCCCAAAACTCTACCAAAGGAAGAATCTATATCCAAGATGGGGATCTCGTGCTCTCTTGAGGAGCCTCTTGAACCGCTAATTCCGTCTCTGCTGACTACCGGTGAGAGCCTGCGCTTACTTGGCATACCCGTCCAGCCAACGTAGGAGAATTTTTGCGATTGTGACACGCCGGCGGTAGAGTGGTACTGAATTTCGACAACAACATTTTGGGCAGGCTGAGAAACAACCAGGCATTAGAGATCAAGCGTTTCTAAAATCTGACAGGACGATTACTGTACCGTATTTGCGTTTATCAACAGAGAAACCAGCGACGATGGCAAATTAACAAGACAATTCTTGAGCGGTACAAGGGCAACCTCCGCCGTGACTGATGTTTTCCCATTAGCCGGAGGCATGGCTGATAATTACGAAAACGAGGTCTCCTCTTGCAAATGCATTAACAAAAGAAGAAAAGAGCCTCTAGCAAATGAAGCTATAAGAAATATGTAATCTACCTTACTAAACAAATGTTGATGTTGTAGATGTTGTAGATGCTGGTTGTTAAAAGCTCCCGGGTCAAACTTCGGCTCATGTCGGCAAGAAAAGCCCAAGCCGAGATCTGGGCCTAAATATAATCCGCTCCGGTATACACTAGGCCATATTAGGACTAGATGTCTTTTTACGTGTCGCGCCGAAAACGCGTCGAAGGCAGCTCTGAAACAAGGTTCAGGGAGACTCAACTTCTTCTTATTAGTCCAGCAGTTCGCTACACACTACCATACTTTTCCTTCAACACAGTTACTCCTCTTACAATTTAGATATTATATCACTCTCAGATTCCCATTTGCCTAAGTCGAATCACTACCTTCCTCTCTTGGAAGCTGTTCCATGGCGCTTCTCCAGTATCGCGCGCCCGTCAAGTATGCGGTGCAACAGGAGATCTTCAAAAACTTTCTTCAGACATTTAAGATCTTCTCATCAACTTCAGAAAATGCTGCCACTGAGGCAATCGAAGGCCTTCATCTCGACGGCGATGATATCAGCGACGAGTACAATTTCACGGATGATACAGATGCAGATGGCCAGCGCGCAAGAAATGATCGATCGAAGGAACCAAAGTTGAAGTATATGAAGATGCTGCAAGATGTCTCGGACCGAATACGAACCAATATTGTCATAGAATTGGATGATCTGGACACTGTAAGTTGGAGAAAAAATTTGGCGACATGCCAGCATTCTTCGCTAATTCATTTGGTGGTAGTATGTTAAATCCTTGCCAGATGGGCCGGAGTCAAATATCCTCAACAACATCCAGACCAATGCGAAACGGTACATCGATGTATTCTCTGATGCAGTCGACGAAATTATGCCTAAAGTGACAAGGGAACTCTCGTGAGTTACCTATTTCCCGTGTCCATTCATTAATTGCAATACGGTTTTGTGCCTAATTTCCTTTCTGCCAACAGATTTAAAAATGATGTTCTCGACATAATAATGTCCCAACGCGAACGAAGAAACGAAACTATGACCATGGCGGTTGAAGCTGATCCTGAAGCTGAAGCTGGCATGCCATCCTCAATGTTTCCTCCCGAACTTACCCGTCGCTACACCTTGAATTTTAAGCCATTAACAACTTCTTGTTCAAGCACTGATCGAAGCAAAGCAATGGCAGTACGGAATGTTCGTGGAGAACACCTTGGTCATCTCATTACTGTTCGTGGAATTACAATTAGAGTCTCGGATGTGAAACCTGCAGTCAAAATCAATGCCTACTCCTGTGATCATTGCGGATCAGAAGTATTTCAACCTGTTGTCACGAAACAATTTGCACCCCTTTTAGAGTGTCCTTCTGCTGAATGCAAGCAGAATAACACGAGGGGACAGCTGTTCCTATCTACTAGAGCCTCCAAGTTTATTCCCTTTCAGGAGGTTAAAATCCAAGAGATGGCGGATCAGGTACCCGTTGGCCATATCCCTCGTTCTCTAACCGTCCACTGCAATGGAAGCTTGGTGCGACAGGTAAATCCTGGTGATGTGGTTGATATTTTTGGAATTTTCCTTCCAATACCCTATACTGGCTTCATGGCCATCAAAGCAGGCCTCCTAACAGATACTTATCTCGAGGCTCAGCATATAACCCACCATAAAAGGGCATATGAGAATCTTGTAATGGATGCCCGAACACTCCGTAAAATAACCCAACATCAAAAATGGGGAAATATGTATGAGTACCTTTCTCGATCCATTGCCCCTGAAATCTATGGCCACCTAGATGTGAAAAAAGCTCTCCTTTTGTTGTTAATTGGGGGAGTCACGAAGGAAATGGGTGATGGAATGCGCATTCGTGGTGACATTAACATATGTTTAATGGGTGATCCTGGTGTTGCAAAATCTCAGTTGCTCAAATATATTACTAAAGTTGCTCCTCGCGGTGTTTACACCACTGGTCGGGGAAGCAGTGGCGTTGGTCTCACAGCAGCAGTGATGCGAGATCCCGTTACTGATGAGATGGTGCTTGAGGGAGGTGCCTTGGTCTTAGCAGATAATGGCATCTGCTGTATTGACGAATTTGATAAAATGGATGATGGGGATAGAACTGCAATTCATGAAGTCATGGAGCAGCAGACAATATCCATTTCAAAGGCCGGCATATCTACCACTCTCAATGCTCGTACCTCAATTCTCGCCGCAGCCAATCCACTCTATGGCCGATATAATCCCCGCATATCACCGGTTGAGAATATTAACCTCCCAGCTGCCCTTTTGTCTAGATTTGATGTTCTCTTCTTAATGCTGGACACCCCATCTCGCGATGCTGACGAAGAGCTTGCAAAGCATGTCGCTTATGTCCATATGCATAACAAGCATCCCGAAACTGAGGACAATAATGTTGTTTTCACCCCCCATGAGGTCCGACAATACGTTGCGAAAGCCCGAACCTACCGCCCAAATATCCCCAAACGCGTCTCTGACTACATGGTTGGATCCTATGTACGTTTAAGACAGGACCAAAAACGCGACGAAGTGAGCAAGAGGCAATTTTCACATACTTCTCCGCGTACATTGTTGGGGATACTCCGCCTGTCGCAAGCTCTGGCCCGCCTACGCTTCAGCAACGAAGTAGTTACAGAAGACGTGGACGAGGCCTTGCGTCTAACGGCAGTGAGCAAGGCGAGCTTGTATCATGATGCCCATGGAGGTGGTGATCACTCCCCGATAAGCAAGATCTATAATCTCATCCGGAGTATGCGAGATAGCGGTGCTGCCGCTGTCGAAGACGGAAATGAAGGAGAGATGAGCATGCGAAGAGTAAGAGAACGCGTTCTGGCAAAAGGCTTTACCGAGGACCAATTGATGCAGACCATTGAAGAATATACGGAGCTTTATGTAGGTTTATATTGTCCTTGCTTGCTTGCCGGTCCCATTGGGTTCAGTTTCCCATTGTATTAACGATTCTTTTTTTCCTAGATCTGGCAAGTAATTGCCAATGGGATGCGCCTCGTCTTTATTGACGTTGACGATGACGATGAGATCATGGCATAATTTAATAACAAAAATAGGCAAGTTTACGAGAAAGGATTGTACCAGCTGAACTACGTTAGAATATGGCAGGGTTTATCTACCATTATTTGCATTTCCATTTCAGTTAAATGGTTCTTGAATGTAGACACATGATATCTTCTCTGAAATCTGTTTACGTTATCCAGTTGTTATGTTTTCTTTTATCATTTGCTTTGAGTACCTTAAACGGAATTTGCGATGTTATCCGAACAGGTGTTTTCTATTTACTGGCATGGCGTTGATACAAGACAGGAAGGATCATCTAGAATCTCAACACAGCTATTTTGTTAACCTTGAGGTCCATGCACTCAGTTCAATCATGCTATTGAAATATTTACTCCCTCTTGTTCCTTTGTAAGTTGACTCAATAACCGTATGCTGTCTTTCTCTGCGCTGGGATGAGTAGGTATCCCGGGGTCTTCTTGAACATTCTAGAATGTATTCCGCGCTAGAGCCTTGTGATGCTTCTTGAGCTTCAGATGTGACAGGGATAGAGAAAGTCCTGAGAAGTTGTAGAACCATTGAACAGTGGCATTGTCATGTTCATTCCTGGGATGTTCCGCTCTGATAACTTTCGAGCCTGCTAGTGGTTGAAGCCTGGTCTCAACCCATGGAAATTCTGAAAACGTCAAACTTAAAGAATAAATAATGGTAAGCTTAAGATTCAGGATAAAATTCCTTGGAGTTTCTTATCGTTGGGAATAATTGCGTTGATTAAAGTCAATAAATACATGGTCTTAATTGTAGTTGACCATCATGCTGATTGGAAACATTCTGTTTTTGCCATGATGAGTGAGGTCGCCAACTGTCACCACTTTTTGACTAGTTCTGACTGGGACATTAGAGGGTGTTGGTGGTAATGATTTGAAAACATGTTTAGTGTCAGGGAGCGAATGCGAGCTGCATAAGAAGGGATTCTCTGCGCTGCTAACTGCTACAACGAAATACCAAGCTTTGTGAGAGAAAAGGGTCGTCCGTAACTTCTTGCTCAATTAGCGCGGTGTCAATTAGGGTATATTAACTAGTTAGTTGTATGATTTCTCATTGAATAATCAAAGTAATTTTGGTAATAATTGTGCACTGCGCACCCACACCTGATGTGGGTGCAACACAGTGTAATGATAAAAACAGTGTAATGATAAAAATATCAACTTCTTTATTAATCAATCTTCAAATATTAATATATCACCACCACCATGATCAATAAGATAGATGATCTTGAAAAATGTATTCAGAGTGTCATTGAAGTCTATAATGACAATTGAAAACAGAAAATTCTATCTCTAATGTGCAAATTCAATGTTTCTTATCAATATCTTCAAGCAAGAATTAATAAAAGAAAAACACACAATGCAAAGACTACACTGAACAAAAAGCTTAACAAGAGTCAGAAGAATGTGTTAAAAGAGTGAATAGCTCATATGAACAGAAATAATTACTCACTGACTGCAGAGCAGATTCAAGATAACATAAATCTCATTCTCAAATATTATAATACTGATTCTTCAATCTTCTCATCTGTGATCAGCAAGATGTGAATTTATTAATATATACAATGTTTGAATGAGTATAAAAGAGTTAAGCAAAAGACAATGAATCTGAAAAGAATTACTATTGAGAATATTAACTATATCAAAATGTGATTTAATCATTTGAAAATCTTACTTTAAAAGTATATATTTTAAATCTGTGATATCTACAACTTTGATGAGATTGACTTTCAAAAAAGTCAAGAATGTGGAGAATAGCTTATTACTGCTTTTAAATACTTTAATTCAGTTATAACTTCATCATATTCTCAAGAATTGATCACTGTGATTGTATGTATTTCAGCAGATGATGAGATATTGAATTCTTTCATCATCATGAAATTTAAAACTCAATTTGAAGATTGATATACACAAAGAAATCTATCAGATGAATATATAATCACAACATTAGATACTGATTATATCAATGATGAGATTGACTTTGTATGAATTCAGCACTTTAATGAGATCTCTAAAAAATATCAGCAAAATAGTCATCAAATGCTGCTTTTTGACAATTATAAATCTTATCTCACTGAAGAATTTCTACAATACTGTGATCTTTATAAGATTATTCTATATGAATTTTCTTCACATCACATTCAACTCATATACTGCAATTTCTAGATGGTATGTTTTTTCATCAGTATAAGCACTATCATTCAAAGACAGTTAATCAAGCTGTGTAATACAAATATGAGCAGTATGAAAAACATCAATTTCTATAGAATCTAGTTGATGTCTGCAAAAAGACTTTTCAATCTTCTACTTTTCAGACTAATTTCACAGATTGTGACATTGTCTCATTCAATCTGCAATCTATACTGCTTAAGCTAGATTTAAAGATCTCTGACTACTGTTAGTCCCAGCGCTCAACTGAGCTCGACCGAGGCCCGGTGCCCGGTTAGACTCGATGTCGGATTAAGCTCAGTGTCTGATTAGGCCAAATATTCTCACATGATCAAACAATCATGCAGGTGGTTATAATCTGAGCAGGCTTCAGCACCTCTTTCATCCCATCAAGCTTAGTATTTCATTATATAGCAGTTAGCAATGCAGAGAGTTTCCTTCTTATGCAGCTCACATTCACTCTCTAACATAATACTAAGCTTCATTCTACTTCTTCTACTCAGAATTGAGTAGAATCTGCTCAGCAAGAATCTGACAGCACAATATACAACAGCAACTCATCTCATCCCCTCTAGTCACCAAAGAGACTCAGATCAGAATGGTCATCTCAGACTTCCAGCCCTCTGAAAAGATCAAGAGGGACTGATGATATGTTTTAACTAGGCCAATCAATCAATCACAGATCTCACTTGAAGAATTCAAACATATGATTCACTCAGACAAGAATCATGTCTACAAAAAGTTAGCAGCAATCTTTGACAGCATCTTTAATGATGAAAAAATGTTGAGAGATACAATCACACATCTGAGAATGGAATGAAACAGTGTCACTGACCAGACTACTGTCAAGCAAAGTCAGATTGATGAGCTAATTGCTGAATGCAATGAACTTAGCCACACTCTGGTTCACATGACATTTAGCAATCAAGCAGCAAGTCAAGAGATCATCTCCTCTGAGACTACTCAGAGATCTGTCAAGATTGATGACTCAAAACATCTCACTGACAGCAAGAAGTCAAAATTTGAACACTGACTCTCTCAGATGAAGAACAAGCTCTGGGAGAACACTGACCACTACCCTACTGAACACATGAGAATTGCATATATCAAAAACCAGACTGATGAGGATGCAGCACATCACATTGCACCTCATATGAAAAAGAACCACTTCAAGCAATATCAAACTGCAGAAGAGATATTTGAGCATCTCAAGTCAATATATGAGAATGCTAACAAGCTGCAAAATGCCAAGAGTGATTATTGCAAGCTGATTATGTACAATAAGAACAATTATCATAAATTTGTAACAAATTTCTTACATCTGGCAGATGAGGTTGAGATTGTCAAAGAGAACTATAAGACAGACTTCAATGACAAGCTGTTCATTAATCTTCAAAGAATGATGGCAGTAGCTAATGCAATTATTAATACATATGCTGAGTTTCAGAAGATCTGTGCTCAGGCAGCTCACATCCTCCAGACAATCAATACCACTCAGAAGTCAAAGAGCTTTCAGAGAAATGAGTCTAATATCTTCAAGCAAAACACTCTGTGAGTCTCTGACAGTCAAACTTTCTACAGTATCTCAGTCACAAAATCCTCTATCATAAAGAAAGCCTTGAGCACTCATTCAGATATTCAGTGCTACTACTGCAAGAAGAAAAATCACATTATCAGAAACTGCTCTGCAAAGCAGAAGTCTCAACAAATGATCACTGAGCTCACAGAGAATGACACTTCTGATCCTTCAGCAGATTCAGAAAAAAAATGAGTCAGAGAGAAGACTTCATCTCAGATAGTTCAATAGTCTGTGAGAGATTTGAGATGAAGGTCTTGATTGAGGGAAAGAACTTTAATGTCTCAATTAAGTTAGCTCACAATGAAATTGCTACTTCTACAAATTCTCTCACTGATACTGAAGCAAATGATGTGAATTTTATTGATATTTGATACACTATAGAATTGGTGAGATTCTTCAATAGAAAGTTTCAGAAACTTTCATTCAAATGCTGCATGAAGGGATACAATGACATCTCTGATGAGATGATAGACTGCACATTGACTCTAAACCTCTGGATGAATGACTGGAGATTTCAAAATGTTCCCCTGCTGGTGACAAACCTAGGCTAGTACCCTATTATCCTGGGATGAAAGTGGTTGACAGCACAGGATATATGACTTGATGTTAAAAACCAACATCCGATTTGACTGAGTGAATGATTGCATTGGCTACTGCCATCATCCTCTGAAGATCAAAGAACAGCTTGTCATTGAAGTCTGTCTTGTAGTCCTCTTTGACAATCTTGGCCTCACCTGCCAGATGTAAGAATTTTGTGATAAATTCATGATAATTGTCCCCATTGTCTATAATCAGCTTGTGATAATCACTCTTGGCATTTTGCAGCTTGTTAGCATTCTCATATATTGACTTGAGGTACTCAAATATCTCTTCTGCAGTCTGATATCACTCAGGGTGGTTCTCTTTCATACAGAGTGCAATGTGATATGCTGTGTCCTCATCAGTTTAGTTTTCAATGTATGCAATTCTCATGCATTCAGTAGAGTAGTGGTCAGCATTCTCTCAGAGCTTGTTCTTCATTCAGAAGAGTAATTGTTCAAATTTTGACTTCTTGCTGTCAGTGAGATGTTTTGAATCATTAATCTTGACAGATCTTCAGATAGTCTCACAGAGGATGACATCTTGACTTGCTGCTTGATTGCTGACTGCCATGCAGATCAAAATGTGACTAAGTTCATCACATTCAGCAATTAGCTCATCAATCTGACTTTACTTGACAGTGGTCTGATCAGTGGTGTTGTTCC